CATTTTCCCAAAAGGAATATTTTCCTTCCTTTTGTATTTCTGCATCTTCTTTCATTAGAAAGAAATAAAACAAAGGAATTATCCTTTTGGTAACAAAATCTGCCCAAATTCAAACTACTGCCTGGTCATAAAGATCTTTTAGCATAAGCATGGGCTTGTCAGATCAAGTTTCATTCATATACTCAAGGCATACTGTTGACATATAAATATCTTTCCCATTATGAATAATAAGAAGAACCAGTAGTACTCTGTGGTTAAGCTGTGGTGATAGAGAAATAAATAACAAAAAGACCAACTATAGGCTGTGAGCCAATAAGAAGCAGAGAATCCATTTCAAAGCTGATCTAAAGATATGTATATAAACAGATATAAAATCAATCAAAAACCAGAGTCAAATTAATTTTGTCCATTCTCTGGTGCTGTGGTCATCATAACATACCCAGAGACAAAATATGACATTTGCACAACTAGCTGGACACCTTACATGGCTAACTCACACTTGCTATATTGACAACAACAACAGACCTTCCTTCACCCCATGGTCAAGCAGCAGCTACTACATTTGTATATATATATATATATATATATATATAATATTTCATTAGATACAGCAGATAACCTCACCTTACTTAACAGTGGAAATGGAGTGTTAAAAGTTTTTTAAAAGTAGAAAGATGTCCATGCAAATTCCAACCATGCTCAACATGTAAAGGCTCAGAATAAATACTCCTATTGAAAACAATACAAAAATAAAATACAACAGTCAAAACATGAGGAAAAACTAACAACAACAACAAAAACAAACCCCTCTTGAAAATGGCTGAAGAAGTGGCCAAAAGCACTTGGGACAATGAAAATTATGGAAAATTTCAATACTCCTTTACTCCTAAAAAATGGAAAACTGTAAGGTTGCTGGAAAAACTATAAAAAAAAAAAACTAAAAAAATAACTAAATCTTCCTTGTCTGCTGTATTTAATGAAAGATGTCTAAAAGAAAGGTTGATTCCCAATTATGCATTAATAAATATATATAAAGTTAATGGTTAGAGTTGAATTAGACCAAGAAACAGTAGTATTAAAAAGTGCTCAATACACATAAAAAGATAAAAATTTAACACCTAGCGCTTTTGAGAATAAAAAATTAGATCAGCCAATTTGGCTGATCTCCTAATTTCTTATACTTATATACTTCCTCCTGACTTTACTCTTTTCTTTATCTCTCTTATGCATGAGGACTTTACACTTGAACTCTTGAAACTTCAACTTTCACCTTATCCTTTTGTGCCATTGTATATATAAAGATTTATTTTGTATTTATCGATACTCTGTGCATTTTTCTTTTAATCATTACACAAGGTCAATATATACTCAAACCAATTATACTGATATATGGTAGGAACGGATGTTGTCAGAAGATAACCTGCTAACCCTAATAAGTGATAACCTCCAATCATCCATAAAATGAGGAATGCTTCAGTCTTGTCAGGATCAATCTCTTCATATTTGTATGGAATTTCTTTCTCCTACAAACCAATCGAAGACCTCTGGGCAAAACCAGAAGGAGTCTTGTTTCAAATATTGAGTAAATAATTTTGGAGAAAATAAAAAAAACAAAACAAACAATTTTATATAAATTATAAACTTTTAATGTTACTAATATAGGTACCAAGCTAGATGATAAGGTTCTTTTTGAAAGCTACTATCAAATGAGCTACTTGCCAAAGTAAGTATTTAAAAAAAGTTATCCAAGCCCAAAATCTGTAGATGTTAACAACCTTGTGGGTTTTGTGTGCATGCATATATATATATATATATATATATATATATATATATATATATATATATATATATATGTGAAGGTGCATGTTCATCATATAAACAAAGATAAAAGAAACATCCCAAAAACTTGAGTTTCTGCTGCAGACATTTATTTCCTTTATGTTCACTGTATTGAAACAAAGTTAAATGTCTTTTGAGTATGTTTGTTTTCCATTTTGGTTTAGAAATAATTTATGGGAAATAAGGATAAGAACAGGTAAAAATGGTCGAGCTCAAGTCAGCCTCACACTGAGTTGGGATGGCTGAATCTCTCCTTCATGAGTAGAGCTGTTGAAAACATGTCCAAACAATATCATTGGAATGTGGAAAAGAGAAATATACTGTCCTTTCCAGAAGTGGGGTCATAAAATCGCACATGACCAGAAATCCTTTCCAGTTTCTTTATAACTTGCATCATGGAGAAAATGATTTTTTTTTTATTCATTATTATTTTATTTATTGGTTCGATTTAATTTTCCCCACAAATCATACCATGTTTCAGCCATTCTGCTCTCCAGCCTTCATCAGGTGTATATTGATCTGGGTAACCTACAGGAAATTCTGAACTGAACCCTTTATTTAATTTATGGAGATAGACTATTCTTGTTCCACTGCCCATTTCTTGGGATATCTCATCTAGTTCTTATTTTTAGTACCACTCACTTATTGCTTGCTCATTTCTACTGAATCCAAATTACACACTCCCCAGCTCATGGATTGAACTCAGAATTACTATGTCACCAAATTCATGAACCAATGTTTTAATACATTAGGCTATTGGCACATAGGACAATCTATTGGTAGACAAGGTGGGGTAATCACATAGTACAATACATTCTTTCAAAAGGTGTATATGATAAATTCTTTTTCTGTCAGAAGCAAAATTTCAAACAATGCCCCAAAACAGAAGAAAGTAAACTTTCTGAAAGATTAGGGAAAAAAGCAGAAAAAGTACAATTACAACTTGTATTTTTGTTGTGAAGAAAAGTTTAACTAATGGAAATATAAAAGTCATGAGGTGTAAAAAGAAAATGACAGTTAAAATAAAAAGTTTATTGCAATCATTTAAAAGAACATTGTGTCTTTTGCTGAATCATTTTCACAATGGGGTGATAAAAGATGGATCCATACATTTTACCAAAGCCGCTTCCTGTGTCAATAGCCACTACACTATATGGTCATCCACAGAGGAGGAGGAGGAGGCAGACAGCTTGCAAAGAACATATTTAAATCTGGTAAGAAATAAACTAACTGAAGTGAAAAAGGTTCATTTAATTATCCAAGTTATGCTCTTAAACTGGATCCCAGAAGTAATTTGGTGAAATGAACACTGGTTAGAAAGATTTATTTTTTAGCATTGATAGATAAAAAAAGTAAAAATTATACAAAAGGGTACTGAAAAGTTCTTAAAATACTTCCCCAAATCTGACCAAACATCAGAATTATTTGGAACCACTTCTAAACCAGAAGAGCTGAGAATGTTTTCAGCATTCCCTTGTTCATACTGTTTGATGGCATTTTTGGCACCACCATCATTTAACCAGAAAATATTAACAAGAAAAATTGCTGTATGGGTGAAAATTTGGTTCTGTAAAATTATTCGACTTGTTCGCAAAGAAAAAGAAGAAAGTAAATAAAGTGTAAAACCAAAATTTTTATATTCCAGAAATAGTTGGTGTTTTAAAAAAAATTTTTTTTTTTTTTATAAACCAGTTTCTTATGAAGAGTTTTCATGCAACAGATAATAGATTAGACACAGGAAGATTTCTTACTGACTTGAACTGTTACATCTGGTTGCTACTCAGACTATCATGCAAACTGGCTACTTGGTACAGTCTATTTATATCTAGCACATGGACATAGTAGTAGATACATAATGCATGCAAATATTTAACAGAAACATGCTTGGCTCACTTCTAAAGTGTGTTAGTTGAAGAATATAAAATTTCCCGTAACTTAACTATACATGCTTAACAGCTGAAACATTGCAGGTTAATAATGTAATAGGTTTTAAATGTTGAGTAAATTTTATATTTCTCTGTAAACTATAAGTTAATTAAATTTTCTTAAGTTGGTAGTAACTTGGTGGGGATATTGTATCTTAATAATTTTCAATAAAAAGATTTTTTTATATTATGTGAAACTAATTAATAGAATATATTCTAATGATATGTCTGCTATAATTTGAATCTGTCTAATTTGTTCATTTTACCAATTTACTTAATTTATTGACATTTTTTAAGTTTTTATTCACAAACACTACAGTATATCAAATGTTATTGGAGTTTATCTATGTTTAGTATTTGATCCAGTTCAAAAGAAGTTTCTTTTCATCATTGGCGGAACTCATTGAGACATCCACAGCTACTGCATGGTAGAGTAGGGGAATTCAGGGATGGAGAGCTCTGGCTTTTCTTGGGCTCTCTTAATCTCTTCTATTTACCTTCTGGTGTTTTCAAAGGATGTTGGGGTTTTTTTTGGGGGGGGGTGCCGGGGGGGGATTGCTCTTCTCCAATTGGTTCTTCCGTCTTCCAATTGACTGAATTAAGTTCTGTCCCCAGTAAGGTGTTTTTGAGCTGATCATTTCAGACATTAATAACAATTATATGAAATTCTAATAGTTGTTTAATATTAACTGGTTTTAGTCCAAAACCCTTTTATCTATTTCATTGATCTTTAGTAGGTACCAATAGCCAATCACTATATGTCATATATGTTCATTAAATTTCTGCAGTATTTTGTATTTCTTATCAACTTCTCACTTTTGAATTTTTCTTTGGTTTACAACTGCTGGTATATAACTGCTTCCTCAGATCAAGGGTTAAAAATGATTTTGCATGAATAAAATCTGTATCTCTTCTTCTTCAAACCTTGTGGACTGGTACTACAGAATCACAAAGATTTGTACCAAATAACAGAAACCACATCACTTGAGGATTAAAAGTCCTCAAGTGATGTGGTTTCTGTCAACAACAACTAAAAGGTATAGCACATGTAACTAGATGAGAGAATAATGACATAATCAAGATGTAGACATTCCAAACTATTTCAAAGAAAAGTTTAGGAAGACAGCTTCCATCAATATTAGAAAGAATATTATTTGCATCAATATTAGGAACAGCTAATTAATATTACTATTTGGTTTACTTGAGCATTCAGTCTGGTTTTATCCTATAAAAAGAATGTTTTATTTCCCTGTAAGACCAATAACTTGAAAAACGGTCCTTGGAAAAAAATTCATTTTTATGATTTTACTCAGTTGAATAAATTTGTGGCCACCATTTTTTCAATGGCTATACAAGTGGTCTACACCAACTTTGAGATGGTGAATTTCATTCACAGTGAGAAGCTTCTTAACTGTCTGCACTAACGTGACTGTACATATTCTAGAAAATGACGTAATTACTATGACTTGCAATTTTCTATTCCTGAATTGAAAACACCTTCATTTAAGGGAGGTTATCTTCTTGCATGAATAAGCAAATAGAGTATACAGTGTAACCCGGATATGAGAAACCCGGATATAAGAGAGATTTTCTCTGGTCCCAAATTAGAGCCCATACTTACCTAAACAAAATAGACCAAACCCGGATATAAGAGAAAACCGGATATAAGAGACTTCTCCTCCAGTCCCGACAACTCTCTTATATCCGGGTTACACTGTACAACTCCTTATTGGTTAATTCCTGCGAACAGGATCTGTTTTGCTATTTAAACAATATTTTTTCCTTTTCACGTTTTCTTTCTACCCGGATCTATTCGCAGTACAAACACAAAAAACGCACCAAGGAGCATCTAATTTTCTCTAACAAAAATACTTCGTTTCCGTAATATAAGATAACAAAAAAAAAACTCTCTAGTTTATATAAATTTTTAAATTGAATGCGTTTATTGCATTATTAAATTTTTACTTCAAGACTGACTGACGACTCACGAGCCTGTTCCTATCTGGCGTGCGCCGTTATTTTCTAGATAAGAAAATCGACGAAGATACAGTTTGTTTTTTTATATCTGAGGTATTGTATTATTATGCTGTTTTATTATTACCGTTTTTTTTTTGTTTTGTTTTTTAACAAATTTAAAATTTATTAAAACAAAACAATTATCATTATTCGAAATGTGTACTGTAAATGAACAATAATTTTTTTAAAAAATAACAAAGTTAGTTAAGGAAGGAATAATCATTTTTTTAATTACTGAGACGTTGACTCCGCGTTAGAAATATTCTGAAAAAAAAGGACGTTTAAAAAAAAAAAAAACCTCAGAGTTGTAAAAAAAGAAAACTTGAAAGTTTAGTAAAGTTTGCAAGTAGGGAAGTTACCAAGATAGTTTGTCGTCGATAATTTATCGTACAGTTGTAAATTGTAAGTTAAATCATGAAATCAGTGTCAATATAAAATCGAGAAAAAATCCTTTGCTGAAACTGAAAGTTAAGAGGACTTATTTTAATTTTATTAACATTTTTCTTTCATTAAATTGTATGAAAACTGGGGACACAAAACGACACTTGTTGATTTATTTACTATTTCAAAAACTTCCATATTTTTTGATAAATAACTTTCGTAAAAAACATTATTTCTGAAAGATACAACGAACGGCTTTTTAAATCAAAGTAAAACCGTCTATCATTTATTTTAGTTGACTGTTCATTTCTAAACTAAAAAAAAAAAAAATGAAATTGATAAACACACGAAGCGCTAATAGCCTATGGCGAAGAATTAATTGAAAGAAATAACACTAACATTAATAATGATTAATCTCACCTGTTATTGCGCTGAATCCGCCTTTTTAATAAGAAATTATTTGAACTTACAATTGATAAAGTTGTGACAAAATAATTCAGTTTACTAGTGATCCGATTGTTCAATGGGGCCTACTCAGATGTAATGTACTTGTCAAAATATTGTGATGAGATTTCATCACGACGTTTAAATCAATTAGGTTTATTCACGGCAAAACCTATACTTTTTGGGGTTCACCTTATGCTTTTATTTATTCCATTTATTTATCATTTGCTTAACTGTTTTTTGGGATTTTTTTTTGTTTTGTTTTGTTGTTGTTTTTTTGTTTTGTTGTTGTTTTTTTTTTGTTTTGTTGTTGTTTTTTGTTTTGTTGTTTTTTTGTTTTGTTTTGTTGTTGTTTTTTTGTTTTGTTGTTGCTTTTTGTTTTGTTTTGTTTGTTGTTGTGTTTTTTTTGTTTTGTTGTTGTTTTTTGTTTTGTTGTTGTTTTTTTTGTTTTGTTGTTTTTTTTGTTTTTTTTTTTGTTTTTTTTGTTTTGTTGTTGTTTTTTTGTTTTGTTGTTGTTGTTTTTTTTGTTTTGTTGTTGTTGTTGTTGTTTTTTTTGTTTTGTTTTGTTGTTTTTATTTTATTTAAGTCGTTGACTTTCCCCAGGACTGTGGGCTATAAAGAGTAAAAGTAAAAACCGATACGGAAGTAACTTTTTTGCCAAAATCAATCTGACCATTTTAAAAACATTCGAACTAGTGATAGTTTTATTATTTAAAGGAGGATTTTTTCAACCCATTATGAAAACTACCTAAAGCGAAACTTGATATAAAAAAAAATAATGTACTGGAAACAAACAGAAAAAAAATGAATCTTTACTTTCTTCTGTGATCCAATTATTTAAATTTTTAGAAAGATTTAACTTTACTACTTTGTCGGTTGATCATAGAAACTGTCATCTCCAGTCCAAACTTTTTAAAAAAAAAAAAAAAAAAAAGCACTTCGTATTTTGGAACCATCCTCTCCTGGCAGTACCACTCCTTCGGGAATGGTCTGGGGTTATTACCCATCGCCCGAGGCGTCCGCGGGGACTTGAGAAATTTTTCCACGTTATTGTGACATTGTCGTAATCGTAAATCCACTAAAACTTGACCTTGTATCGATGTGGGCGCAATGGAAAAAATCCACCTAAAATGTCATAAAAATTGATTGAATGTTCGTGAAAAAAATTAACTTATGAGTTTGTTGTGAAAACTAGAGTTTTAATTAAAATTTTGTATTTATTTTGTTTTGTTAGTTCGTTAAAAATCGAATCTTAAATTTATCTTTTAAGTTTGCAGTCCTCATAAATTTTTTTTAAAAATAGTGGAGGGTAATTTTTTTTTTTTTTTTTTTTAATTTAGAATTTTTGTACTGTTCTAAATTCCTCTTTAAACATCAGCTTTTCTCTGGTACGGCCTGAGTCCGGAAAAAGTCTTCGGTGTCGTTGGAAAAATTTTAAAAAAAAAAAGGCCATATAAAAAGTGTTTTTATTGTGCAATTGTCAGTCATTGAATTGAATCTATTTGGAATTTTTATCGCATGTTAAAGGACATTGAGAAATCTAAAAAAAAAAAACCTTTCAATCCATACTCTGTTGATTTTTTTTTCTTTTTTTTTTTATGATTTTGCAGAAATGAACGTCATCAATTAAAAAACACTGTGAGGTCAAATAACAAAGTGGAAAGACTGCCATTATATCTCTGTCCGAAAAAGTAAAAATATGGAATACAGTGTAACCCGGATATAAGAGACCCTGATATAAGATAAACCCGGATATAAGAGAGATTTTCTCTGGTCCCAAATTAGAGCCTGTGTTAATCTATATAAATTAGACCCGGATATAAGAGAAACCCGGATATAATAAAGATTTTCTCTGGTCCCGTCCTCCCCGATATAAGAGAGTTCGTTTTGAGTGACAGTGTGATGTCGTAAATCAGCCAAACAGAGGTCAGTTAGAGAGAGAGTGAAGTTGCTTTGTGTGTCTAAGGGTAGCGCCGCCCGCTTTTTTGCCAACTTTGCTTGTCGTTGCATTTACTGGACAGCACTTTCACTTTACCCACTGTTCTGTTGAGTCAGAAGTTTGTCTGTTTGTTAATTTTGCCACTGAAAACCGTTTGCTTGCGATCATTGCAATTAGTGATGTCGGCGTCTCAACGAAAAACTCTGAGCATTTCTGAACAGTTGGAGCTCATTGACGATGTCAAAGTGAAGAAACTCAAACTGGCGCTGCAGCCAAAAAAAGTACGGAATCGGTTATATTCAACAGCAGCAAAAATTCTCAAGAAAGAAGGCGATCTCAGATCTTTCATGCAAATGAGCGGAAACACTAATCGCAAAGCGAAAGCGTAATCCGTGCACAAGGGCGTTAACGAAGCACTTACACAATGGTTTATGCAAGCATGTGCTCATGGAGCTACCGTCACCGATCGCGTCATCAGGCAGAAAGCATCACAACTGGCCGTAAATCTTGAAGTTGATTTTGCACCAAGCAATGGCTGGCTCATGCGCTGGAAGCAGGCCAATAACGTTTCATTCAAAAAATTTCACGGCAAATCAACATCAGCAGATCACAGTTCTGCCAACAAATGGGTGACAAACATTTTGCCACAACTTTTTCGTGGATATGATCCAAAAGATGTTTGGAACTGTGATGAAACGGGAATTTTCTACAAAGCCATGCCATCTCGATGTTTGCGATTTGCCGACGAACAGTTAAATGGGACAAAAGTTCTCAAAGACAGACTCACGATGCTTCAGTTCACAAACATGGACGGCAGTGAAAAGCAAGCTGTAGTTGTTGGTAAGTCGGCAAAACAACGGCAAACAGATTTTGACGAATTTATCAGCTTCAACGACCGTAAACAATGTTATGGAGAACTGACTGACACGGGCATCACACGTGGTATAAAATCGGATGATCAAGATTTTGACGATGATGCTGAAAGCGTAAGTTCTGAAGTTTCTGAAAGTGACAAACCAGTGCCAAATTCTCTGGCTGCATTGAATGCGCTTGAAACTCTGACAGCCTACTTTGAAGCAAAAAAGCAGTAATCCTGATGGCGCATTGAAAATGATTTACGGACTGTATGAAAGTGTTCATGATGTTAACAAAGTTTTTTTGTACAATCAAAAATGACTTTTTAAGAAAAAGTAATTTTTGATTGAATTATTTTGAAAACTGATTGAAAATGTATTTTTGTCTGTGTTTTTTATGTCTATAACTGTTAAATAAACTAGTGTTCTGTACGTAAAAAGTGTTATATGAAGTGTTCCCATACTTACCTAAACAAAATAGACCAAACCCGGATATAAGAGACTTCTTCTCCAGTCCCGACAACTCTCTTATATCCGGGTTACACTGTACTATCTATCCCAGTGCAGTGTAGCTGTGCAATAATCAAGAATTTATTTATGTTTAAAACTAAATTTTCTTTAACATTGTCCAATCTAACCAATAGTTTAAGAATATATATGTATTTTTTTTATTGTATACGCTTTGATTAAACTTAGTATAATGAATAATTTTATTTTTTATACTGACTGAACTGAGGAAAATTTAAATTAGTATCTTTCAATATTGAGTCAGTCAAAGCAAAATATTAGAATTATTTCCTTTTTGTACATCCATACCAAAAATAATTTGACAGTTGCTAAAAGAAAAAAGAAAATTCTTTTAAAAAAGCTTCACACTTGAAAATGGTGTTCATTTACATTTTTTTTTAAAAATCTTCAAACATGTCTTTATTTAATAAAATAAATTCTTGTAATGAACTTGGATTGCTTCTGCATAGCTGCCCTTTGCATTTTCTAGAACTTTCTTGCAATGATAGTAGGCAGTTTTGAATGTAGCAAAAGTCCTATGTCATTCCTTATGAAAGGGGTCACCAAACTTTTTTCACAGAAAGCCAGATAACTGAGAGAATGACAAGCACTGGCCAGATAACCATTTTGTTCAATACAATACACTGAATACCCAAAAAAATAAAGACAACAAACATTTATTTACCAAAAAGTTATCAAAGAAGTTGGACATTAGCAATAAATTTGTTATATCCACACCCTGTGCGCAAATATCCATATTTCACAAACTAAGCAACAAAAAAAGTTTAGTGAGATTTTTGAAACTGGTGTTTAACTTTTAAGATAGATTCAATATTCGCTTTGGAATTGCTGCATCCAACCAAGAGAATTGGTTAATCAGTCAACCTCATTCAATGTGCTAACTTTATTGAATACAATAATTACCATATTCAGTGTTAAAATTGCTCTCCTTTTGATTGAAATTTTTTTTTGTTGGGGTGGATGTTAAACATGTAAATAAGACTGCAGCGCATTCAAATGTCTTCAGAGATATGCAAATTACTTTTTTTCAGAGTAATGAGTGAAAAAAGTTATTTTTAAATAATTTGAGTTGAAAAAAAAACATGGCTTTCGTTAACATTTTTGAATATTTTTCGTTTGTAAAAAAGCTTTTTTCTTAAACTTATTTTGGAGATGGGAAATAGCATATTTGATAGCAGTTGTCAGAAACAACCTTCCTTATGTCACTTGTTACCAATATTAGTAACTCTCTGAAAGTTTATAATTTACATTAAGTCTTTTATTATTTTTTTTTCCTTTGCTTTTCTTTTCTCCAGAATTATTTACGCAATGTCTGAAACACGACTCTTATGTTCATGGTTTTGCCCATTTGCCCAGAGGGCTTGGATTGGTTTGCAGGAGAAAGAAATTCCCTACAAGTATGAAGAGATTGATCCTTACAACAAGACTGAAGAATTCCTGAAGTTTAACCCCAGAGGACTGGTTCCTGTTGTTATTCATAATGGAAAAGCTATTTATGAGTCAACAGTGTGCCTTGAGTATATGGATGAAGCCTGGCCAGACAAACCCAAGCTTATGCCAAAAGACCCTTATGACCGGGCAGTGGTTCGAATTTGGGCAGATTTTGTTACCAAAAAGATAATTCCTTTTTTTTATTCTCTTCTAATGAAAGATGATGCAGAAGTACAAAAGGAAGGGAGAAAATCCTTTTTGGAAAATGTTGAGGCTTACACAAAAGCCATGTCCCCTACAGGTCCATACTTTATGGGTGAGCAGTTTGGTTTGATTGACATCATGCTTTACCCATGGATACAAAGGATGCCTATTCTGAAATTCTATCGTGATTTTGAGATCCCCACTGACACTGATTGGTATCCACGCTTTCAAATGTGGTACAAGGCTTGTCGTGAACGCAAAAGCATCGTCCCCACTGTTGCTGATGATCAAAGACTAATTGATGAATATAAACGATATGCCCACAATACAACACAGAGTCAGGTTGCCCAAGCCATTAGGGCAGGCAAAGCTTTACCTTGAAATTTTCTGTTTTTATAAAATAATGATTGGTTAATGTTGTTAAACTTTGTTTTAGTGCCCAAAAAAATTCTTGTCATAATTTTTTAAATTCAAGAAAATAAATTATCTAATAATTGTAATTTATTGATATAACAAAAGATATCCATTGATTCATTATATTGACTGGTTACATGAGATATCTTGCATGCCTTGATATTGCTACCTTTAATTTTAAAAATTGTCCTATTCCTGATACTATTCACTTGTACCAAACTATCCTGCTTAAATTAATAACTCAAAGAGCATTATTTCAATAACTGAGTTTCATTTTAACCAGTCAAAACAATTTTTCGAATAACCATTAAAAAACAGCTATGGAGTAGTGTTTAGCATACACTTTTTCAAGCCATTACTGGGGAGTTCATTTCTCACTAGTTATTTTGCCAATGTGATTCTCATCCCAAAGTTGATGAAATTCGACAAATAAAATCTCATAACAGCTTTCAACTTCAGACTAAGTATCAATTGAATAAATAATAATATATTCATACACAATTGTTTTTCTCTTTTTTTTTTCTGTTATTGCCCGAATACCTAATTTCCTTGATTTTAGTTTCCTAGTTGATATCCATATTAAAGAGTATAACAACAGTTGTCACATGAGAAATTTTATTATTCTAACTTGAATTGCTCAAATATTGGTCAGGTAATCTTTTTTTAATACTATTGCAAGAAGTGTAACACTTACTTCCCATGATGTACCACCATTTTATCAATTTTTTTTTGTGGGGGTGTCCATTTTTTTTTTCCCTTGCATCATGACCAACACCTTCGACATGAAGTTTTTTCAATGATTTTATGTGTTGAAAATTTTCTTTTAATCATCAAAAATGTACTTTACAAATCATTTATTTTTTTAAAAATAACTCAAATCTGCTGTTTATTTCCTAATGTAAGTGATAAAAATATTATGGTATGTGTTTAATTGAAAAAATAAAAAGCTTATGTATTGTCCTTGTTTGTAATGCTTTGTGGTACATGAGGTATCCAGTGTTTACATTGTTCAGTATTCTCAATAAGAGTATTAGAATTATTATAAGTCTACTTTTGCTATTTATTCTGAAGTTATTTCAAAATTTTAGTTTCTGTAAATTGGATGTATCTTTTGTGCAAAAAAGAAGCCGTTTTTGATTAAAAGTTTTATTTGTTAATGTATCTATTTTAATAAATGAAGGAAATAAAATTTAAAAACATTACATTAGAAACAGGTGGTCACCAATCACTGTATGATATCTCTACCTTGTACTCTTCACCAGCTACAGAATAGTCTTGTATGGCTTTTCACTTCTCAACCACAGTAATGTAGTTCTCTGAGGACATGTAGTGGAGAGTTCTCAAGTATAAGCACATCATTTCAACTAGTCTCAGAAGTGTTTTATTGATTGAGATCTAGCATCATGGCTGGCCACTCTAGATGTAGGATGGCAGTCTCTTGGAAACGTACAATAGTGATATGAGCAGGATGAGTTGCATTATCATTCATGAAGATAACATCCTGCAAGACAAAGACCAGTTTAACTTTTCTGTTACTGGTTACACCTCCTCAAAATGTTCTGCTGCCACTTCTATCTCAATAGCCTACTGACATAACTCATTTTTGCATCTCTATACCCTTTGACAAGTACATTGTTCTAGTACAGTAATTCTGCACTTACCTATTATTATCAACCATTTTTGCAATATCCACCTCACTTGCTTATATGTTGGGTAGTGTCTGTTCATTAGAGACAATCATACACATCTTCCATGTAACATTCAGTACAAAACAATGACCCTAGTTGTATATTGTCTTGAAAGGATACTTTTGTCCCCATCAGCTTAGATGTATTTACAGTTACATGGTAATGGTGCAAAACAGGTATGAATGTGCTGTCATTCATTATGTTCGGCACTAGAACATGGCTGCTTACTGACAATTTTCATTGTGCAATGTCTAAAAGCAAATTAACTGATCACATATTGTGAGACCTGAAGTTTATGGGCAACATCAATTTTCTGTCTACGAACTGGTAGTGTTAGCCCATATATAACTGCACAGTGCTTACTACAGCAACTTGTTTGTGTGTTTTGCTTTTTTTTAAGCAAAATCTATTGAAAGCTGTTCCACAAAATGTAAGCAAATAGAACAAGTATAATAAATCTCCTCTATATACAGCTATTTATGACAAACATTGAGAGCAAAAACAAACAAACCTTAATCCCAATATCCTTAACTAATTGTAAATAGTGTATTTACAAAACTGAGTTGGTAGTTCAACATTTTAGTAGCAACTTTTGTGAACTTTGTAGTCCTTAGAATTTCTACCATCACCTCTATGTATATTCATCTAAAAATCCCGACAATGAAAAAAAAATCCCAAAACACCTAAGTGCAATATTGCTTACTTTGGGGAATTCATTTCATTTCACTTCATTTTAATGGCTGGCTGGATTACATGTTATTCACAGTGAGAAAAATGTATTCATGGCAAAACTGTTGCAAAGTTTTTGGTGCCAAGGATTTTTCAATGAATTGTTCTGTATGAGTAGTTTTAACCAGATGTTTTTTAGGTAATTTCTACTTTGGTAATAGGTAATACATTGTAGTGCTAATTGTCTCAAATGTAGAAAAATACTCTTATATATGACATCCCGTGCTTGTGTTTGAGTGGTAAACAGCATTTTGAAATGAATTTTAGTTCTGGTTTCACCTGATCTTAATACATTTTTACTTTTTTTGATTCATTGATGTGCTCTATTCATCTAAGCTTAATGGTATAGAAATTTACTTTGTGTCTACTTTAATGACAATCTCAGCCACTGAAATATTCATTTCTTTCAAAGTTACAGCATCTAAAGATTTATTTTGGCCCTGTTCATTATTTTGCTGGGATGTTTTTAAAAGATACTTCTCTAATATTATCTCCAAATCTTATAGGTATTTTTTATTTTTAAGGTAAGAAAAAAATGCACAAGTTGACAAGTAATAAATGGAGTTCCTTTTTTTTCAAACTGAAGATTAAAAGACTTTATGCATTTTTTGCTAACAGAATCATTGGGCCGTATATTTATAAGTTTGAATGTTCATTTTCATAATAGGCTTCTATAACTTTAACATGTTTGAAATTGCCAAAGACTTAAGTTGTTAAATCTGAGAGAAAAAAAAAAAATCATTAGATGTCTAAACTTAATTCACATTTAAAATCAGTTCAAGTTATTGGAACACCCTATAATTGAGATCAAACTGTCTGAAAAAGGAAAAGGCGACAGCATTTTGCAAAACTATTTTTGAGTAAATGTTATTGCTTTTCTTTGCATTACTGGTAAATATTAGACTCAAGATATTAGTTGATGAAAAAAAAACTTAATAAATATAGATGACTTGTGAATAGCATGCAATTTTGCAAGTTTTCCTCAGGAGTTTAGATGGGAGTCTTGAAATACTCATTGCTATAAAAACACAGTGAATTGGCATCTTTCATGAAGTTGTCTTTTTTTTCTTAGGACAGTCTAGTAATAATGCAACTTAAGTGTTATCCCAAGTTAAAATATATCTGCTAATTTATAAAATGGATGCTTTACTCATCCTTTGCCCTCACCTCTGGGCTGCATTGTAATTTATTTATTTTGTAGAGATGAGGCTTACGGTCAGAAGATTTTTATCTCCCTTACACTCAACTTAATTCAGAGAATTGGTGAAATTTACCAGAAAAATTCCTGTTTATTTTCTAAACTCTAGGTCCTTTCAAAAAAAACTTAAATCCAAAACAAATATATTAGTTCATGCAAATACCTCAAGTGTAGATGTTTGTCCCAACATTTTTATCATAACTTTCATGAAATCGCTCCTCTCTTCAATCAGTTTAAAGTATTGTAATCTGCTACTGATAAATCAGAATACTTTTCTCATATATTCTCTTCTAACTCCATTCTTGATTTTTCAGGTGTATCTTTACCTGATTTTGAGTGATATGCACATAACTCTGTCCATGGTTTCCGTTATCATCTCCAAACTAGATCCCTTCAAGGCTTGCTAACTTGTGATGATATCAAGAATGGCTTGTAAATTTTAACACTTCCAAAATGAAGCTGCTATCTTTTAATTATAAAGAACCTTTTTTTGCCTTCCATCAGCAAGGCTGATGCTAACCTCCAGTAGAGCCATCACGGTCTCATGTTCACCACTGACATGATTATGTTGAATCAATTAGTTGGTTTGCTGTATTGTGTCGAGTTCTATAAACCTAGCATTCATCCATGTATTGAATATTACCGCCATATTTGGTCTAGTTCTCCTGCTATATATCTTGAGATTCTCAACAAAATCCAAAGAGTCTGTAATGTAATTGGTCTTGATCTGGTATCTCAACTTCAGTAACTTTCCTACTAATGTGATGTGACTTTCTTGTGAGTATTTTCATAGCAATTGTTCTAATAAGCTTTCCCAAACTGCACAAATTTAAGTATAGTACTACATTGGTAACTAGGTCTCATAGTTTTACTGTAAATTCTATTTTAATTGTTTCTTTTCTCACCAGTCTGACTATTACAGTTTCTTACTTCACTGCCACTTACAAAACTTTAAATGCAACATTAATTGCAATTTTGTCTTCATGAATCCTATTCTTTTGTCCTTTCTACTCACTAAAGTTTTGTCATTCTCTTTCATTCCCAGTAATTTGTGTGTTCATGGCATTATAACCTTGCTTTGGAGTGAAATGATTATTTCTAAAGAAGATAGAGAGAGAAAAAAAAAAAATGAAAATTTAATTCTTTTTGACAGTGCTGCTAATTTGTCCATTTTCTATTTAAGCCTTCAAGATTAAAAATATAAATGTTCATTTATCATTGAGATAAAAAAAAAAAAATCTGTGGCCTGTCTTGAAAAGACATGCATATTAGGTTGATTTCAAACTTATCAAGTCTTCTCATTGGCACACTTATTAAATGTAGCAAGATTTGAGCATGTTAACAGTCAATCCAATTATAACTTAATTTTGCTGCCTGGATCAAGGCTTAAAATTTGTAAATAATCAATACCACAAGTATAAGTTTACAAGTTTTGAAAATAGTAAATTCTTTTTATCAAGTGAGATGAATTCAATCAGTTGTTGTATACACCTTTCTCACTACACATTAAAAAAAATAAGGTGAACTGAAACCATATAAACATTATACCCTGTTCAATAGAGTATATTGGTCTGATTCACTCCCACCTGACAGAATGTAGTTATAAATTCACTCAACACATACTGCTTGCCAGTAAAAGATTTTATTAGATAAAATTAAGTGACATGCATTTGATGCACACAAGTGTTTATCAGAAACTAATCAGAAAACTTCTGGCTTTCTTTGATAATAAAGGAACAGCATTTTTTTTCTTCATCACAAAAGATTATAGGGTTGAGGCAAGAAAAACATCAAGTACTAAAATTTTCCAAATTTAGATATTTGGATGATGCTTATCTGTTTATCACAAAATGGAATGTTTTCAAAGTAAATATAGTTTTATTTTATTTTTCTTTACCTCTTGATTTCCAAATTTTCTTGTGCTAAAATGAAACTTTTTTTCTGAAAGGCATATTGTGGCATATCAAAAGAAAATGAGTGTCGAAAAAAAATATTAAGTTTAAATTCAGGGAAAAGACTTAACATTTGCATGTTTGACTTCAAATTACCTACATTTCATTAGCACCAGTGTAGTCTCTGTTGTACTTGGCCAATGTTCAGTGGTTCTTATTCTATACCTTTTAGCTTTAGTAAGGCCTAATGTTTAAATACAGTTCTATACTAAAAAAGATCTTTTCATTTTAAGTCACCATTAGAAACAAATCTATTTCCTCACTGCATATACTATTTTTACTGTTAACTTTATTTTACTAACCATAAAAAAAGAAAGTTCTTTATGGAATATAACATCCATACAGTGGCTAAGGGATAATGATTAATCTTTTTCCTTTAAATCCAGAGGCACAAAAAAAGTACCAAGTGTTTTTGGTCATGGTCTGAGCTGTTGAAACATCTGAGAATAAGTCAATTTCCCCAACTCTTAAAAAAAAAAAAAAATGTAGTGTTTTGTGTAATTCTAAACTGAATAAGAATTGGAGTTTTTAGTTGAAAAATATTAGAATAAAATACAAGGGACAAGAAAAGAGGGTTGAAATATAATGCAAGCAAATGGATTTTTATAGCAAAAGCTCTGTTTATTTTATTTTTTATTATTGCATATCTCATGTAAATTCAGAGCTGTTTTTCTTTTTTTTTTTAATAAATAAAAATATATAGGGTATAAAAATATAAAAACAAAAGGAAAAATGTAAAATTAAAATAATTTATCACAACTTTAAATATAAAGAAGTCGATGGGGGTGAAAAGTTGCTAGTTCTATTGCATTTGGGATTCAGCACAAAATGAGGTAAAAAATATTGGTATAAATTAAACAACCTTAAGAAATTAATTTATAAAAAATATATTCTATCAAATAGTTTGTCTTAATTATTTTATATAAGCAATGTAACTTTGTAATAGAATAATGAATAGCCATTTAATCATTGTATTCTAACATGTCAACAAGTAAATTATTTTAGTTTTAAATTAATTGTCTCCAGAAATAAATTTTATAGTGACTTTGAGATTACCTTACAGAAAACAAAAATAATTTAAAATTCTCATTTATTCTTATAATACTTATTTGCTAGAGCTTAAAAACAATGTAACAAATTTGATCACAGTAAGGACTAAAATAACATTAGGGACAAGTGAATTTTTGCTGCTGTTTCTTTATATAGATAAATATACATTTATCTTTCAGGAAAACGTTTTGGTTTTTTGGGATTTTTTTTTTTTTTTTTAAATTAAAGAAAATAATTGCAAGAGATCAGTTGAGTCTTGAGTATTATCCAGGGTCATCATCATCATAGAGCTGAGAGAATTCCAGATTGTAGACAAAAATGTTATACATGAGGCTGCAAAAAATAAAAATGTTAATTAATCAGGGTAAACTGCAATTTGGACAAAATTATGATAACATTTATCAAATCTTGGAAATGAGATATCAACTGTAACACCTCTTCCCCAATATTTATAATAATAAAAAAAATCTAAAATATTTTCATATTTCAAGACAAGGATGAAATACATTAAAAACATACCTGTACTTTGAATTCACTGCATTCATCTTGTTTACATAATTCCTTTCTTTCATAAAATTCACTGACCTCAGCTACATTGCCACTGAGTTCTCCATCAACTGAAATGAAGTAGCAATTAAAAAAAAAAAAAGTCAGAAATTGACAAGACAAAATAGCTAGAATCTTAGGCAACATCACAAATTATATTTAACAGTTGTCAGTCCAACTCGAAAAGAAATTTTGGGTTAGATTGATAAGAGGTAATGACCCAAATCTATGAATAAAACAGCGTAGCATGATGAAATAGGCCCCAAACTTAATAAATATTTTGATGATAAAACTGTTTTAATTATTGAGGAAAGACCAAAGTATTTTTTTTATTTTATTAAATTTTTTAATCATTTCTAGTATTTGGTTAATTTTTTTTTTTTCTCCTGGTGAAAAATACATTTTAATGAAATTTTCAGATCTAATTCACAAAATAAAGAAATTTTTTTTTTACAAGTTACCTCTCACAACACTGATTGAAATTTCTCAAAATTAAATTTTTTTTTTTTTTTTTTATTCCTATTTCACTAAATATTTTTATTTTATGTATTTCTTTTAGTGTGGGTCACACTTCAATTAAGTATTATTTTTTTTTTAGTTTCACTTAAAAAGAACCTGGAGACAAAACCCAATTCTAAAAATAAATAATTTTTACTTTAATTCCTATTTCATAAAAATGTTTTTTTTTTTTTTTGTGTATTCTTTTTTTTCTCAGTTATTTTGATAAAATGTAAGGCTATAAAGTTAAAGTAACTTATATTCAATAAAATATTAGATAATTACTAGTTAGTTAAAAACCAAAAACAAAGCATTCACTTTTATAAATTTGTCAATTTCTGGTCAACCATACTTAGCTGTCAACACATCCATCAACATGTCAGAAAAACAAGACCTTGTGGTTAAGAAATGTTTGTATACTGTTTTATGCTATAAGTAATATGTTTCAGATCAGATTAATTTAACTTTAAATTTGATAATTTTCCTCAAATAACATGTCACAAATATATATTTTAAAAAATAAGAATTAACTTATTTACAAATGTGTCAAAATGGTTGATATATATCGATTTTCTGAAACAACCAAAAAGATGAGATTCCAATCTAATTTCTAGTTGAAATACACCAGAGTATTTTACTTACTTGAAATAGTAAATTTAATCATTTAGCTTTCAATTAAAGATAAAAAAAAAAAAAAATGCTTTTTCATTTTTAAAAATTCATTTTAAACCTTAGATATCAAAAATTTAGTGGAGGTCCCAAGATTTGGGCCACAAACTTTTCAGCATCTACTTAAGATTTCATAAGCAATTTGAAAGTAAACATTCATCAATAAGCCAAAATCTTCCAAATGCATATCTTAATTCAAAAGAAACATTGATCCCAACAGTAATATGAACTGATTTTTTAAACTCAAGATCAGTTGGATTGTCTACTTCAGATTTTACAAGAAAAATCAGGTGTAAAGTTATGCATGACTTTTTCTATTTAACTTTAAATAACTACAGCTTTTATATTTTGTGGGGGGATGCATTAATATACATATAGTTTAGAAATAAAAGGAACTTCAACATTGTTTAATGGTTAGCAAGCTTGTCTTGCTTGATCAATTACAAGAGAGTTCAATCCTCACTTGGTACCCCCATATTTTTGGCTTTGTGCAACATCAAAGCTACACTTAAAAAATCATCATATATTTCAGAAAAGAAAAAAAGATTCAAAACCATTTCCAACAAAAGAAAATTTTAATTACTTAACAGATTAACAAATATAATATTAATCAAATTAAAAAATTATTTAAGTGATTAAGCTTTTGGCCATAGGCAAACTCATTTAACTTTCTATTTCCAAATGTTCAGATTAATGTTGCTTATGATTTACAAGGAAAACTGATTTAAAGACCTAGAGGGACCAATTTTCTGTTTTAGGGAATCCCCCCCCCCGGGCTTTCAGTATAGATATGTTTTTGCTTCATTATGTAAAAATATATAAACGTTATTAAAACAAGAAAATGAAAAATTTTACTAGTTGGAATATCCACCTATTGGATAAGTTGCTCCAGCTTGATAGATTTGAGGGCAGGTACAAAACCCTAACTTGATGAGTTTCTGGGACAACCCATGCAAAGAATGCTAATTGTAGCAGTACAAAATCATCTACAGACAAAAAGCTACCTTATCATTTGGTCACTTTGTTGAAATTATTAAATAAAATTTTGGAAAACAGTAATTCCTAAAATGACAAACTATCTCCTACCATGTGATAGGAAAATGAAAGGATAAAACAAAAAGACAGTTTTTTTTTTTTTTCCACCCCCACTACCACCTTTCTTGGTTCCTAGCTACTGTAAACTGTAGGAAGACAATAGTTAAGGGGGATGTATTAAAATATTACCAACTTTATCCTTTGATGGCTGTTGGGACAGAAAGTGAAACAGTAACAAATTAAAATGGCAGCTGAAATCCGATTGCTAGAAAAAAAAAAAGATTCCAATTCACAATCGCAAGGCCATTCCGTTTTTTCATCTATTTTCATGGAAAACAATCCCCACTAAAGATCTTTAGTCATTGAAGTAAACATTATCATCTAATGTGGCAAATAACTCCAAATGCAAAAATATTTTAGGTAACAATCACATACATGTCATTTTTAGAGATGGTAATTTCGGATTATAAAGAGTGTAGCAGTCCAAAAGTAATGCCTCTTATTTATTTTCACAGGAACCATAATAGATATAGGGAGCACAATAACACTATTTCCATAGCAGCAATTACATTGTTGAAAAATGTACATACATACAGTCCACCTTTCATAAACTCACATTGCTGTTGTCACTACATTCACTGCTTGATCTTTGTAAACATTCAGCAAGCATTGATGTTTGTCAATGGGTGCAACTTCTTTTCTGTATGAAGATTCAGTGTGACCTCTCTACTTCACACAATTTTTTTTTGTAGACTGCTACATGTAACAAGGCTGAAAAAATTATGTTTATTGGCAAGAAAGATCAACATCTATTGCAATGTTGTCAACATAATAAAATAAGAGGCATTACTTTTGGAGTGATCCTCCCTATTCCAGATACTAACCTTCCACAGCTGATACAGTAGCAACACCGACACTGCTTTCCAGTGTGACATCAGAAGAACATGATTCTAATTTGATAGGAATTATTGTGCATGTTTGTGAACAAGGTCCATTGAATTCAGATGATGTCGAATGACTTTGTGTTTCAAGCATGCATTTTTCTTCACCATTTTCCTACAAGAACCAAAGATAATTTTTAAAACTTAAATTTATAAAAGATTTTCTTCAAATAAAATTCATTTTTGTTAATCTGATAAATAAATCATTGTCAGTGTTTAGCTTGTTTCACAAATGAGCAACAAGTTAAAGTTCATAATTTAATCAGTAAATTTTCATTAATAATCACATTGTTTTGTATGTCGTAAACTCCTTACACTAGATAATTTTGACACAGAAAGGTGTGGTGGGGGAGTATTAGTTTTATGAGAAAATGGTAATTTTCATTATCTTTTCCTGACAGTGAAGTTTATGCAAAGATTCATAGAGAATATAATGATCATTTTGGGAATTCTCTCTATGTCCAAGAAAAAACATTAAAAGTAATATCTTTCAATAACTGTAAAAATTTAAAAAAAATATAAGTTCAATAATTTAATTTTAACAAAAAAAAGGGGGACTACATGCTCAACAGTTTTAATGTCATAATATAAATTTAATGGCCATCAAAAACCCTAAATTACTAAAATATCATTAAGAGAAAATTAATATAAACCAAGCGAGAAAATATCTTACAGTTTGACATAAAACACGGCTTTTTGAGTGCTGATTAGAACTGGAGTAGACAATTTTTTGTTGACAATTAGGAGCATTGCTTGAAGAGCCAGATATCATAAAATCAACTGAATTGAGATCCTGAACAGCATCACTTTGGTCCAGCTGATGGAATTTTTGTTGACATTTTATCATTCGCAAAGCATTATAAGCTTCTTTTAATCCAAAAGGATTCTGCATTGCCTGTTCATAATGCCATACAGCACCAGTATAATTGTGGGTGGCCACCAGCAGATTACCCAAAAAGTAGTGAGTTAATGGCTTGAAAGAAATAAAAAAATATATTAAACTTCAGAAAACTTGGGGGGGGGGGTTAATACCTAAGTGTTCTTTTTTTAATGTAATTTACAATTGTTTTAAAATCTCTCTAAATAACAACTATATAGTTCTATTGGGCATATTTAATATTGCTAGAGCCTCTACCACAACTAGGTGTCTTGTGAGTTTTCATATCAAAAGTTAGGTTAATGGGTTTGTGTATCAATGCAATAATTACACTCAAACAACAAACAGAAAGTTCCAATATAAGTACAAATAATATTAATGTTTACATTATTTACACAGACTATTGTCTTCATTTTTTGTTATCACAATATACTTGTCAATCCAGGTAACCTTCAGGCAACTTCAAACAGAACTTTATATAAACTACAAGGGTAGAGTATTCTTGTTCCACTGCCCGTGAATAAAGATGTCACATCTAGTTCTTTAGTACTGCTATATATACATACACGCCTAATACTAATTTATTCTAGTTTTAATAAAAATATTTCCATAAAATATACCAACTAAAACTTATAACTTAATTTCTCATTCATCAAAATGAGGTAATACTTTCAAAAAAATGCCTAAAGCTTATAGCTTTTCTTTCATAAGCTGTATTCAAACATGAACTCTACAAAAACGAAAGATTGTATGAAAATACTCAGAGAAACCTTTAAAAATTAAATCCATGAAAGAAAGTCAATAACTAAAATATTTTGCAGTTAACCCTAAACCATTACTATATAGTTAATTTTAAATTAAAAAAATATCTTCCTTACCTCTACATTACTAATTGCAAGGGCATCTTTTACAATACGAATAGCATCATCATAACGCCCTAATTTGTAGAGCATGTTAGCAAGGTTGACAAGAGGCACATCCCGATACTGTTCAGGAACTGTATATAGAGCTCTTCTCACACACTCAATGCCATGGTAAGTGTTACCCAGAATGCGCCAGTACAGACCAGCCAGATTGAAGAGAATCCAACTAGGACTCAGGCTCTGAGAGAAAATAAATAAAAAGAAATATCAACATAATCAAATTGCTTAAAAAACATGAACCAAGTCTTTTCTTTTACACTAAAAGTAATTATGAAATGGCTGGTTCCTTTCATTAGATACAAAAAAATTAAATGTAATCATTTTATGATACAGTCATTTATTTTAATATTAAATTCATTAAGTGCTCAACATGGTTTCTTAATTAAAAAAAAAATTATTTACATTATTCAGACTGTTATCCTCTCCAGCCTTCTTCAGGTGATTGGAATTTAGAACTGAACCCTTTATTTCACCAACCAGGGTAGATTGTTCTAATTCCACATGCCATATCTCAGTTATCTCCCTTTAACTCAACTCGCCAAGTTTTTGTTTACCACTGCAGTAATGAACTCAACTCTCTGGATCCAAACAATGCTTTTATCTATTGGGCTATGCATCCTTGAGGACATCAGTGTATGAATTTTTGAGACTTATAAACTTAATGCCTCAGTGTCCATTTTTTTTTTTTTTTTTTTTTTTTAAACCAGAGCCCATATTGCAATTCTGTTGTTATTATTGTTTTTTCTAGCACTCCATATAACTGGTTCCCATATTGTATTTATTTCTATGCTTGGCCAGCTTAGGAGATTTTTGTGGCCTAACATATGTGCTGATTCCTTAAATTTTCGTATTTTCCAGTTATGTTCTCTATTATTTCAACCTCATCCCACAGGGGGCAGTGATCCCCCTTTTCCCTCCATATGTGGTCAGCTATGCCTGATTTTTCTTGTTACAGCTTTACGATGTTCTTGCAATCTTATCTTAAGGGGGCGGCCTGTTTCTTCTTTATATTTCTTACCACAGCTGCTTGGGATGGCGTACACACAGTCAGTTATGTTCTCCTCTATGGGAGGTCTTACTCAGAAGAGGTGTCTGCGAAGAGTCAAACCACTTTTGAAGGTTATTCTGATGTTATATGGACCACAGATCTTTTGTATTTTCTCAGATAATCCCTTCACATAGAAAACAGCTTTGGTTTGCCTACCCTTCTTGTACCCTTCTACCCCAGTTTGTTGGAACTGCTGCCATGTACCCAGGGTAGTCGTTACGTTGTAGGGTACTGCTTATACTGATTATACGTATTTGGGTCATCACTTATGGCTTTTGCTTGATGTTGTAAGCAGCAGACAATCACTTTCTTTACACTGTATGGGTGGTGACAGGTGAAGTTGAGGTATTGTTTGGTGAATGTTGGCCTTGCAGTATGTCTTGAACCCATGCTCTGTTCAAGATATTAGTAGATCCAGAAAGGTGAGCTTGTTGTCGTTTCTCTCTCCATTGTGAACTGTATCGATGCTTTTATTGAGTTCACATGGTCCAGTAGTAGCTGGACCTCTTCATAGTGTGGCCAGAGCATGAAGATGTCATCTACATATCTCAGTCATCAGGATGGTTTTAGTGATGTGGATTCTAATGCTATTTCCTCAAAGTATTCCATGTATATGTTTGCCATTGATGGTGATAATGGTGAGCCCATTGCTAAGCCTTCATCCTGTCAATATATGTCTGACCCCATTCTGAAGTGTGTTGTTTGTGTACAGCAAGTCAGCATCTCCATCAGGTTATCTATTGGTATATTGGTCTATTCTCCTATTCCGAGGCCAGTCTGTCCCTGACTACTGATAGTTCCTCCTCTGTGAGTACCTTGAACAAACTCACCACATCCAGGCTCACCATCTGATTGGATTGGATGGGAGCATCTTTGGTTACTTCCACAAAGTGGATGGAGTTTGGGATATATGAAGGTGACTTTCTTATTAATGGGTAAATTATATCTACAAGGAAGCGACTCAGAGGGTGGCACACAGAGCTTTGGCAAATAACAATCGGCCTGGGTGGAATACAGTGTTTGTGAATTTTGAGGAGACCATATATGTGAGGTAGCTTGATGTAATGCTGCAACAACTGCCTGTATGTCTTAGGTGGGAAGTGGTCCTTGTTCTTGATTAGGATCTGCAACAGTTTTCATTGTTGGATCTTTCTTTTCTTTACTGTAGCTACCATTTCTATTGAGGTCTTCCAGCTTTCCTGTATAATATTCCAATTTGTCCATCACTACAGTTACATTGCCTTTGTCAGCTGGTAGTATGTTTTCATTCCTCTGTAGTGTTCTGATTGCCAGCCTCTCCATGATGTTTGATTTGGGCAGCTTGGCTTTCTTCAGTATCTGTTACACTGCCTGATCGTGAGAGATGTTCAAGACTATTTCCTCAATTCAGGCAATGATGTCTAAGTATGGTATCCGCTTGATGGTTGTGGCGAAGTTGAAACCCTTGTCTAGTACTGACTCCTAAACGTGAATAATATGGCAATAAAAATGAGGACAACAATCCAAATAATGTAAATAATTAAAATGTCTCATCTCAGAAATATAGACAGACAAAAAAAAAATAACATTGCAATTTATACAAGTTCAAAGTTTTTAGCATCATAAGTTTTCATTACTTTTTAAAAATAAAAATACTACAAGTAATAGTATATTTATAACATGCTTAAATACTGATCAAGTGCTTTTATAATTGATAATTTTATTTTGGTCACAAAATTAAAATTAGAAAATCACTGAACAAGGCAGTTCATAAAATTGATAAGTTATACCTAGAGGAAAAAAACATCTAAATTATATTGTTTTATTACAAATATAACCAGTAAAAACATGGAAAAATAGAGACAGATGAGTTTGAAGAAGGACAATGATGTAATTTGATAAATGTAAAGAAAATTACTATTAGTGTAATAATATAGAATTTTATTTTTTTTACTAATTTGTATTTGAAAAGGTTTCCTATAATAAATATTTAAAAGAAACTTCAATATTTTTCACATAATTACATTTTTACTGCTCAAAAAATATTTTAGAATATTTTCCCAGCTATTTCAAAAGTAATTTATGTATACAATACAATTAAAATATATAACTGACCCTTTTTAAAGCTGTGAGGATTCTTTGTCCAACTTCTTCTTCTGTAACCATTCCATCATTTACATGATCAAGGAGTATCTGAAATGAAAGACAATAGCAATCTTAAAATAATTTAGCTAGCTGAATATATAACAGTATATACTGACTTGCCAGTAAGATAAATGTAAAAATTAACAAATTTAAGGAATGTCCTTCATAAAAATACTTACTAATATGACAAAAAACTTTAAATTCATTGCTAAATTTTACAAAAAAGAAATGATGACTCAACAGATAGAAAATGATGTGCTTAATATTAGGTGATTATTTTGGCAATAAAAGAGTTGAACATGACAACTAAGTACAGTAATAAGTGACAGAGAAATATACAGATCATCAGTTGTACAAAAAAACAGCTATAGCCTTTAAAGAATTTTCCTTCCCCTCATGAATATTAAATAAGTTTCACTAGTTCCCACCAAAGCCTGATACTTTTTAGGTCTAAATCCAATATTTAATAAAGATTTTGTCATGAACAGTCTTAGGAACTGGAAACTCAATTCTAAACAGGAAACAAAGGATAAACCTCTACTCCTCCCCAGTCATTTGAACAGGAGTAAAGATTTATCCCTTGTTTCCTGTTTAGGATTGGGTTTCCAGTTCATTCTAAAATATTTTCTTTCTCTTTCAGTGGCCTCTTGCATGTTGGTGGCATCATCAACTTACTTGAGGTGGTGTCTTTTACTGTAACCCTCTACTTTGAATGTCTCTTGGGCCTTGTACAACATTATAAATGTATATAAAGTTTATTTACCTGTCGCATAGATGGTTCTGGTGATTTATAAGCAAAACTGGCTCTGTCTGCAACTGACCGAATGTGATCATAGGTTGCTGTATTACCATCACTTATATCCAACAGAGGAATACAAATTGGAGGGTACCAGGGTAGAGGATGTTCATCACCTGAGTTTAGATTCTGTGCAGCCGAAAGCAAAGCACGCACTCTTAAAATAAAATATTAATAAAAAAAAATTATAGGCAAATGAACATATTTTTTCTATTTTATATAAAAGCAATCTGTAAATATTTAGTAAAGAAATAAAAAAAAAATTATATAGCAATTTATACAACACTTCAAGCTGAATAAAGTTTACATATGCAGAGATGAAAAAAAAAAAAGAATATTCGGGATGGTGGGGGTCATTGCCACTGATCATTTCCTAGGAGATTAAAGGGAGTAAACTTCAAAATCAAATTTCCAAAAGGAATAAAAGAATTTAGTGTTTAACCAGTAATCCTAATTTTTATTAAAACTTGTTTATATTACAGTGAAAAGCATAAGTTACTGATAGTGGCCATGATCATCACTGGGCGACATAATATTAGACAACATTTAGCTCAATCCTAGTAAATAACAACTATCGAATGTCACCAGTACAATACCTACCTATACCATACAATTAAAATTATCCATATACCAATGTATGTTTTAGGGACACTTGAATCAGAAGAGAATAATTTTCTTTTAAATAGACAAAAGAAAAAGCAAAATGTTATGAATATTCAATCCAAATGCAGATGTGTCTCTATTGAATGAAAAGAGATACATCATGATATTAATGTTTAAAAATAATTACTGAATAATGTTCTATAAAATTTCAACTGCAACAGACTTTGGTAGACATCTAATATTCATTTTATCTTCTAGTCTGCAATCACTTTTTCTTCACAAAGCTTGGTAATTCTTTTGTCAAATGGTTTCATTTTGCCTATCTTTTTAATGTCTACTCTTGAGAAATTTTTCTTTGATGCACTTTTTAAAAAAGATAACTGGTCTAAGATTCTAAACAAGACAATATGTAAATCAAATACTTTGAACAAAATCATTAAAACATTCTTTGATATTAAAATTACTGTTTGTATCAAAGCAGTTATGAGGGCATTTACGTTTTTGCAGCTGCTCAAATGTTCTTTGATGCATATTTCTGAGGAATCACAGGAGCATTTTCACAAAATCAATAAGACACTCATGCAAAACAAATAAAGTCTATGATGGCAGAGAATATAACAGATTAAATCAAATTTCAGTAAAGATAAAAAGATTAGGTGTATTTTTACAACAAAGACAGATGAAAGATAGAATAATGCATATTCTATGACATTTTATTAAAATTATAATGAGAAAATTAGAACTAACAACTTACTCAAAGCCTTTATTTTCAGGTGGCAAATAAACAGTGGACATATTTTGTGGGTCAAACGTTTTCTGGACGTAAGTATCACATTCTTCTTTGGACGGCCAATCAGAGGGCATCTGCTTTTTATCCTTTACCTGTTTAGAGATAACAATGCAAAAAATTTTCAATTACAATATACACTAAAGAAATTGATAGGTGTTAGACTTAAACATCTACTTTTAAGTGGTCAAAAGTCATTTGTTTCTTTCAAAAATTGGCAAATTATGATTTTATCTATTTCAAAATCTTTACAAATACATAAAAATACTACGCTGTTTAATTATATACACTTCAGTCTGAGCACTCCATGTATAACTATGGTTAGCATTCCTGTCTTTGAAGCCACTGATTGCAATGTAAATATGGCTTTATATCAAAGTTGTCAGTCTAACAGTATGAAATTAAGAATATTTTTATTAAATAAATAAAATAGAACAATGATTCATATATGACCATTTTTTAAATCTTTTCTTGGCTGGGTTGAGAACTTTTCATAAAATAAAAAGAGAAATCCCTGTTGCCACAAAACAACTCAAAGAATTCTTTTTAAACTTTAAATAGACCGCATTCAAAAGTGCAGTGATTAAAATTCCATAATGTTTACATCAAGGTTATAAACAGGAATATTAGCAGTAAAATTTTAAAGCAAACACATTCAGAAGTGTAACAAAAAAATGTTTTATGAATTCCATTATGTTAAAGATTTCAACAAAAACACCTCCAAAAAACAATATAAATAAGGCCATTTATCAATGAAATAATTTTTGCTGATGAAAAATAAAAAGTATACAGTGAAAATAAGTTAAAAATCTCACTGGATTTATACTTTCTGTGACAACTAAATTTATTGATAACATTTAATGCCAATACAAGTTTGAAGTAGAATTATAAAAAAAAAAAAAACAAAATCTAAAATAATGTAACTTGATAGATATTTAAAAATCACTAAGTTTTTGTTTCAAAATATATCTGCTGAAAACTCAACACGCTTTAAAGAAACTTCAAAGTTATTTTTTAATAGAAAATCATATGCTTAACAAAAAAATTAGTGCTCATATTATCCCAGTACATCCTAATCTGACAGATTCCTACTTCAGGTAATACAAAACCAGCTACAATCTAAAAGAATAGCTATTCTTAATAAATATTTTTAGTGCACTTAACATATTATGATGATGCCTCTAAAACATTGATAAAATAAAAATGCTCTGCTCATTAGATTTTCAATTATTAATGATTTTGTTATTGAAATATCAATATCTTTGCACACACTAAACATGAAAATACCTATAGATTGTTAAAATTTAAATTTGGCTAATTTTTGGAAAAAGCCTGACTAGCAATAAAGAAGTTCTGATCCATTTAACCTGATATTTAACTTTTTATTCATTTATATATACATTTGCAGATTTTGATGGATATGCTTTTCATTTAGTACTGGGTGTCCTGTCTTTCAATCTTCAAATCAATTTCAACTGAATGACTTAATTTGATAAACATCTCTACAATAGAAGACCTACAAGAAAAATCACATTCTTAATAAACATTTGAACATAAAGAAGGCTATTATCATTTTAGATCTTTTCTCCTGCAATTTGTTGCTTTTATGTCCAGCAACCTGACTGATAAACATTAAAAGAATATCCTACTTGAAACAAAATATCAGAAATTAGGATATAATTTAATAACACTGCAAATTGTTTTTACTTTTTCAACTGATTTTTAATAATAGACATAAAATTTATTCCTAAATCATCTTCACAATGAAGAAAAAGAGGGGCAAGATACCTAATCTAAATTCTTGAGGAGCAGAAAGTTACAATCAAGTTCAATTAATTATATATTATATATATATATATATACTTTCACTAATTCATTTGAAATTAAGGGAAAAAAAAAAGGTCAGCAAATTTTATATTTGTATGCAAAATGAGAAACTACTAGCATACTAAGTTAATGATACCAAAAGGTTTGACCTTCAAGTTTATTTTAAAATGATTTATGCTGGAATTTTTGACATAAGGAATTATCATATGTTTTTACACCGAGATGAATATATTCATTTTGATTGTTATAGCCTCCAGTCTTCAAGTGTGTGCTGTACTTGGTAACTGTCTCAAAATGTTCAAATGAAGTCTTTATTCAATCCATAGGAATTGATTGTACTCATTTTATTTTCTATACTCAGGGGATATTTTGTATCAGTTAACACTCTCCAATCTATTCACCTTTGTATCACTTGTCCATTCCTTTCATTGAACCAGAGTATATAACATTTCTGCATAATTCAATCCAGAAATTGAAAAGTTATATGCTCTGGTTTAATGGAAAAAACAGACAAGTGAATTAAAAGGTGGATAGAATGATACAAATTATCTCCCTTGAGTATAGAAAGTGTAAATGAGAACAATCTACCACCTGGATTGAATAAGATTTCAGTTCAAAATTCCATAAAGTTTACTTACTGTATATAATGGACACTTGAAGGCTGAAGGGTACAATGACCAAAATGTGACCATAACAACCAAGATTGATATATTAATCCGAATAAAAGCTTATAATTATTATATTAAATAAATCAGATATTTTTATGTCTAGGTTCAATAAAAGTCTAAATAATTAAACAAAATTTTGAGTTTTTCTATATTTTGTCAAATTCATTCAGACTTTAGAATAGTTCATCTAGAAAAATCAATATTTGTTACATACTTTCAATAATCCATTAAAATTTCAAAATAAATATTAAATATATAAAAGAGAAAACTTTGAAGATGAAAAAAAAAAAAAAAAAAAAAAAGAAATTATCAAAAAAATTTTTTTTTAAATAAACCAGTGAAACATCCACCAACAAGTAGTATCTACACCCAATATTATTTTTCTTGCTGAGCTTCAGATTCCCTTCTCTATGATTAGTCATTAAAAACTTTAACCAATCCAACATCAGGGATTGAACAGTCTTTGTGGCATATAGTTCAAAAATACACACAAAAATAAAGAAAAGAACAAAAAAAAAAAAAAAACATCTACTCAAAATTAACTTAGAAATAAACCTTGGGGGGAGGACAATGAGGAACTGTCAAAAATAGAAAAAGATTTATTCTGAAATAGTAAAATTACAACTGAACTAAAACTATAATTTCAAAAATATGCCCATCAAACTATTTCAGGAGACTTTATAATATTGATATTATTAATTAGTACTGTAGTATCCATTCAAATAATGCAAACAATAGATATAATTTATGTCTGAAATAATTGTTATGCATTAATATATTTAGACTAGGATCTTTATCTTAGTTGTTATAGGAACTATCACTTTCAAATTCAAAGTTGTTTGGCTATTAGATCAATTCTAAATTTTTACTCGTCAAAATTCTTGACTTTCTATTGGCTAAAATTTAGTCAATGTTTTTTTACGCATATCATTTAACAAGTCTACACAAAATATCCTTGAAGAACCAAAAGGGTACACAAAGGCAGCACATAATAAATCATTATACATCTTATTTAGCAGATGATATAATAAGGCTTTACAACTTCCAAACACACACACACACACACACATATATATATATATATGAGAAAGAGAGCATATACATTAATAAGGTCTCTTAAAAAAAAAAAAAATTTAGATATTTATACCACAATAGTATGACAAGTTTCACAAATAATAAAGTGAAAGACACAAAAAACAAAAAAAAAAAAAAAAATTTTGTTCAAGTTTGCAAACAAAAATGGTACTTTTCATGAATTATTCTACAAAACAGCTCAGAATTAATGATACTAACTACTTCAACATTTATTTCATTTGAGATTTACCAACAAGGATGGATAATTTTATCATGCAAGAGATACAGAATATGATATATAAATTTCTATATATCAGAACAATGTTGGGTAACTGAATGACAAAATGGAAACAATTTTGTAACAGGTTTCATTCATCCTCTAAAAGGACATCAGACAAAAGCAATGTTCTTATTGATATAAATGTTATAATTATGCACAAAGAGGAAATGCTGATGATGTAGGGATGCTAAGTTTAAAATTTTTGGCATCCAACATACCTAGATGCCCCACTCAACCAATACAACAGATTTATTTATCCCTGTAACAATTTTAGGTTTGACCCAAGGTCACAATATGTCTATATACACATAGTGCCAGAAATTGTCCAATTCCTTTAGCATTGACCCTAATTCAATCATTTTAGGTGTAATGATTGCTGCCTAGGGAAGATAGCCACCTGGAATGTGACACTGATTAATTTGTGCTTTGGAGGGGCCAAAACCAATACAAATAGCAAATTAACTACTGCCTCACAACCTTGAGTCTAATTTGTATAATTATCTTGTCAATTTTGAATTTTTTATCATCATATAGATTATATGATGTATTTCCAGAAACAAAGAAAATGTGAAAACACTTTCTCCAAGTCATAAACATGCATACTGTGATCATTGGTCATATTCAGCACTTCAATAATATACTACACTAATTTTCTATCAAGCAACCAATATTAAGTATAACTTCTTCATCATAGTTACTGTCCAACTTTCTCAGACCAGTGTTTGTGTTATACCAACATTTTAATCTCTGCAATTAAAAAAAATTATATACATTTGAATTTACAGAAATACATATGCACATTCATAAACAATTTAACCCCCTGAAGATGATCTCATAGGATATTGAAAGTACTTGAGAAAATAAAAAAAAGATTTTGGTATTTTTCTTAATCAATTTTCTAAGACTACCAAGAAACTAATCAATGAACTTGAAAGTATCACAACCAAAATAAATTGACATGATCTCTCTCTCTCTCTCTATATATATATATATATATATATATATATTTATTTCTTCTAGTAGATGTCTAAATTAAAAAAAAGTTGTATGATCATTATTTACCAAAAGGAAGAATGATCTGCATGTAAAATTCATTTATTTGGATCCCTAGCATTTCAACATAAGTTGGGAGAGTACTCTTTAATCAGACTATTAAAATGGTTTCAATCTATATAAGCTTCTGTTCTTTAAGGTGGTTCAAAGAATACTTTCAAAACTTATGTTTGTGGTAAATTTTTCAGTTACT